AACGGTATCGCCACCTCCACACCCCTGGGAGATCCTCCTATGATGCTATCTCAAGACTTAATTGTCTAGGGGTGAGAAAGGGAATTCTTGAAAATCCCATCTGCGGCAGCTGCGCCCAAAACTTCCTAAATCCAATCAGAAGAACCGCAGAGGTGACCCAGCCTTGGAACTTAAAGGTAATGTTGAACTCACAGTAGAGAGGAAGAATTTCTTCGTCCCGAGGAACTTTAGCCCCTCTACGGTTAAGAGGGATTGGCTTGGGGCCAGCCTGGGGCTCAGAAATTGAAAACAACCCGCCTGGCGGGAAGGGGGGGGATTTATCTAGCCTAGTGTTGGAACCACAGCCAAATAGAAGGTTTCCCCCTCCTCACATTTTCTCACCTCTTCTTCAATCCTGGAACATCTAGGATTGGATTAGAAGCTTTGCTAAAAAGTTCCCACCTCAAGATTCTCGTCTTATATTGAAGTTTCTTTGGGCCAAACACCGTAAATAAATATCTAATCACGAGCAGGATCAGACCTGTCCTTAGACGTATCACTCAACCATGACAACTTTCAGATGGGTGGACTTCAGCTCCCACTCATCTTAAAGGTGCCATGGTTGAGAAATGCTGCAGAGAACACGGGACCTGGTTCTGGATAAGGTTCTCGCTCCTGAAATAAAAACATGTTGCGCTTTGCAGAAAGATCTGTGTAGATTTGGCCCGTTTGCTAAAAGAATAAATAAACCAAAGCAATTCATTTTGCTATGAGACAAACAACCATCCGTGGTCACTTTTTGAGTCCAATCTCTGGGGCAGGTTCACACAGAGCATTTTTCTCCCTCCCCCTTTTTCTTCCTGTTAGAGAAAGGCTCAAGCTTGGCCTCATTTATCCAAGGGCACGCACAACACCTTGTGTCCAGTTGCCATGGCTTCGTGCAAACAAATGGAAGGAGCACAGCTTTTGTTCCTGTCTACACCTTGTCACTTTCTTCCTTTGGGGCTTGTAGAGAGAGTTTTCTCCCTGGACCCTGAGTCAATTCTCCAAAGTTTGCTCCCATTCAAGGAGGGGTTTCATTCCTTGGTCTTCAGCCTGAGCACGTTCCTCGGAAGCAGCGAGTGATGAGTAGCATCACACCCATGGAGAAGTGAGTAGAAGACCTGGTCTTTGGAAGACTGTTATGGCCTGCTTTGGACAGGGCCAAGGTCTGTATGGAAACAAATCCTTTTCCAGGTAGGGTCCATCCCTGTGGCTGAGAGGTCAAGGCTGTATTAGACAACTGCAACTCTTGAGTGATGGTGCCATCTCCATTGACTCAACACCACCTCCTGTTTGGAATGTAGACACCATGCTACTAATCTGGTGGGTGAAATCATTGACTACTAGTTCGGACTATCTATACTTCTTTGGAGTTCTTTCTTCATCTTTGGGGTTCTCCTGGCTATGGCTGGAAAAGCAGGGGAGCCCCGTGTCCCAGCCACCTTGCAGAAATCCCGCCTGAAGGCCGAGGAGAAGATTTTGGATCTTGACTTTCAGCTGGAGAGCGTGCAATTTAATGAGATAGGGAGGTACGCCCTGCGGTTGACTGCAGAAAATCCTCTGGTGGAGGGGTCTGAATCTGGGGTGCAGCTGCGAGTAAATGAAGGAGAAGTGCTTCACACCAACACAGCCACCACCGACGTGGTGGAGCAGGCTAACCTCAGCGAAGTCTACCTGTTTGAGAAGCGGAGGTTTCTCTTCATCCTGCCCAAAGGTAAGAGGAGGGGAAAGATGGAAAGGCGGCAGAATCCACTTTCAGGGGACTAAGAGGGGCATGGGGGATTTGAAGAAAGGAGCAATCTGAAGGGTAGCATTGTAAAACCAAGGTGCCGCAGGATTTTGATGCTCTATGAAGTCTAGGACTAAGGAGCATGAAGACTGGAAGACTGCATTACAGACCTAGGGCAGTGGTGGCAAACCTATGGCACGCGTACCAGAGGCGGCACTTAGAGCCCTCTCTTGCCATGCCCCGGAAATGGCAACCGTGGGAGAAGTTGGTCGACGGGTGATCGACCGGCTCCAGGGTGTACCGACCTACGTAGGGTCGTGGGTACGCGAGTGACCGGAGACACACGTCCCCGGTTACCACAGTCCGTCGTCGGCGGGGCCGGGGACGGAGGGGAAAGGGACACTGTTACCGTGGGGGTGGGACGGAACGGAGTGGGGCGTCCTGCTCGGAGGACGGCATCGCCCCACCTGCCAGAGACCCCCTGGATCTCTCCCAACCCTGCCTGGCCCCCACAGGCGTCCCTCCCCACGAGCAATATTGAGGTGATCATGCCCACCTTGGCCACACCCACCCAATCTGCCATGACCACCACAGCCACGCCCACCCAGTGGGCCACGCCCACCTGGCACCCGGCGATAAATAAATGGGTTTTGGGTTGCAGTTTGGGCACTCGGTCTCTAAAAGGTTTGCCATCACTGACCTAGGGTCTCCTCCTCCTCTCTTCCTCCTCTTCCTCCCCCTCTTCCTCTTCCTCCTCCTCCTCCTCCTCCTCCTCCTCCTCCCCCTGTCCTTCTTGACTGATTATACACCAAAGCCAAACAAGATACAGGGTGTTGGACTACTAGAAGACCTCCAAGGTCCCTTCCAATCTTATTATTCTATATTCTATGATTAAAAAACATAATCTTGATTAAGTAAACACTAAAAGGGTATCATACTATCATAAAGATAGACAGTTTGATGTAGTGGTTAAAGGCATTGCAACTTGAAACCAGGACATGTGCATTCTAGTCCTGCCTTGGAACATAAATGCACCTGGTTGACTTACCCAATTTCCCATAGAGGCTACTAGATGCCTCCAAAAAAAAACCTCCATAAATCAGGGCAGAGAAGAAATGGAGCCCCAAGGAGCTGCCATTCAAAAGAAGATGGCATATTCTGGGTGCACAAAGCCCATTTGGTATAATGGTTAAAAGGCACTAGGGTAGAAACCAGGAGGCGTGAGTTCTAGTCCTGCCAAATTCATCCCTAGAAAGAGGACAAGTCCAAACCACTTCTTAAAAATCCTGCCAAGAAAACTGCAGGGACTTGTCAAGCAATAGCCAAGATCGATCGACTTGAAGACAAACACACACACACAAACACATTCTCCCACATGAAAAAAGCTCAAAAACACAATAAGATTTTATCTTGGCATTCACCTTTATTTTTTCTCGACTAAATAGCAATAGCTTCATAGAGCTTTACAGCCTTCTTTACAGAATCAACATATTTGCCCCCAACAATCTGGATCCTCAATTTACCGACCTCGGAAGGATGGAAGGCTGAGTCAACCTTGAGCCTCGTCAGGATCGAACTCCAGACTGTGGGCAGAGTTAGCCTGCAATGCTGCACTTTAACGACTGCGCCATCCTTGCAGAAGCTTTGGGCAATGAAGGCAAATACAGGTGTCCCAGGATAATGTTGCAGGATCCAATCTGAGTTGGTCACTGGGACCAAAAGTTTATTCTTAATAATAATGATAATAATAAAGTTGGAAGGGACCTTGGAGGTCATCGAGTCCAACCCCCTGCTCAGGCAGGAACCGTACACCATTTCAGACAAATGGCCGTCCAGTCTCTTCTTAAAAACCTCCAGTGTTGGAGCATTCACCGCTTCTGGAGGCAGGTTGTTCCATTGGTTAATTATTCTAACTGTCAGGAAGTTTCTCCTTAGTTCTAAGTTGCTTCTCTCCTTGATCAGTTTCCACCCTTTGCTTCTCGTCCTGCCTTCAGGCGCCTCTTCTTCCAAGCTTTGGGCTTGTGATGGAGTTCATCCTCAGGGAACTTTTCTCTCTCCAGAATGTGTACACTGGGTTGTTCTACGTGTTGTATTTCTATGGTGAACACATCCTGGAGAGAGAGACGTTCCCTGAGGATGGGAAGAAGCTTGGAAGAATAAACTGTTGGTCCCGGTGACCGACTCAAATTGGATCCTGCTATTGGCAAACCCTGTAACAGAGACAAAGAAGAAAAATCAGGTTATTCCACTATTTGGCTGAAAGGTCACCTCTCTTTGGCTTCCATCAGGCTACCTGAAACATATCTCCAGTCAAGGACTGCCTGAACTAGCTTTGTTAACCTCTATCCCGCTTTCCTTCTGTGCTGTGTATTTAGCCTGAGGGTAGGGATGGATCTAGTGGTGGGATTCAGCCGGTTCGCACCACTTCGGCAGAACCGGTAGCTAATTTTTTGTTGCCCAGGCCCAGAATGGACTTCCGGAAGCGGCATCCACACAGAGAACCAGTTAATCCAATTTTATAGATAGAAGATAGATAGATAGATAGATAGATAGATAGATAGATAGATAGATAGATAGATAGATAGATAGATAGATAGACAGACAGACAGACAGACAGACAGACAGACAGACAGATGATATAGATAGATAGATAGATAGATAGATAGATAGATAGATAGATAGATAGATAGATAGATAGATAGATAGATAGATAGATAGATAGATAGATAGATAGATAGATAGATTAGATAGGTAGATAGGTAGATAGATAGATAGATAGATAGATAGATAGATAGATAGATAGATAGATAGATAGATAGATAGATAGATAGATAGATAGATAGATAGATAGATAGAGATATGCTGCCAGAGAAAGTGGGAGAAAGCCTTACAGAAGGCACAAAGGGGGCTCCCACAATCTGATCAATCGGAACAGAGCTGGAAGGGAGATTGGAGGTCTTCTAGTCCAACCCCTCACTCAAGCAGGAGACCCTCCTATACCAGAGATGAAGCATCCACAACTTCTGAAGGCAAGCTGTTCCAATAGCTCAATGTTCCAGTTGCACTACAGATTTTTTTCTCCCCCACCCTTTTAAAAAAAAAAAATGTAGGTTTCTGCAAAAATGATAAAAACCACGATGCTCGGCTGCGGATTGAAGCTTTACGCCAGCGTGGGTCCTTGTTGCTGAAGACCAGCGTGAAGACGGGGGAAGCTTTCTTTGCTATTTACCCCCGCACTAACCAGCCTAGAATGAATCTCTTTGCTAGCAAGGATGAAGATTTATACCGCTATACTGATATTATGGTGCTGCTCCGGGCTGGTAGCGATGACCTGACCATGCATTGTGGAAGGTTGGCTTACACAGTATCGTTCCATGAACACCGACCTGGAGCCAAGAGGGAGATACCCATTACGCCACGCCATCTTTCTCCTTTGGTCCCCCGCAAGGAAGACAAGATGCAGGCGGAGGCGGGAAGCTCTTATCTGGCACCTTTACAGTTGTTGGGGGTTCAGCCAGAGAGGACTCAAGGCAGTGCATCTGAACGACCATCTCAGCTGTCACCGACTGCAGAATCCCGTGTTCGTGGGGTAAGGCGTGTTTGAGTATCAAGGTTATTCTGAATTTCATTTATTTTATTTCCCTTCGGGTGGGGGAAGTGAATGCAAGTGGATCAAAGAGGAAGGGGTGGTTTCCCTCTCCTTTGGGAGAGAAAGCTTGGCTGTCCAATGGAGTGAATGAATGCATCGTGGTTGGTCTTGGAGAAGCAAATAGAATGAATTGGGTGTAGGCCAGTTAAGAACTTCTAAGGGATGTGGGAATGGCCTTGGGAAATAGAAGGGAGGGCTGCAAAGGGACCACCGGTGGATAAAAGGTGGCTCAGGCCACAGAAAGGGGGAGGGCATAGAGCATGTTTCAGAAAGGATCTGTCAAGCACCAAGGAAGTCATGAGATCCAGGCAGTTCAAATGTGTATAAAGATTTATTGCATGCTTAATCTCTCTACAAGAATCTGGACTACTAACGGTTAAGGGAAATTAGCGGGAATTAAGAATAGAAGGAATTCAAGGTGGGCTGGACTTAGATCTCTTATGGGCATGAAGGAACTCGAGACTGATGATGCATTTGACCTCTCCCTCGGGCTCAGCCTGGTCATCTCCTACAGGATCCTCTCCAGTTTTCTGGAGAGTCAAAGGAAAGAGGAAAGAAATACTTTTGGTCTTCAAAGATTCTGTTCGTACAACCTTAGAATAAAAATAGAAGCATCTTTGGTGCCCCCTGTGCTTGGGTGTTCTCTTGCAGACATTTCATTACCAAACTAGGTAACATCATCAGTGCTAGTAGGGAGTGAGGTTTCATATTGGCCCAATTTCCCGATTCATATGGCTTGGGGAATTCTAGGAGTTGAAGTCCACCTATCTTCAAGTTCCCAAGATTGAGAAACACTGCCCCAAGGGATTCAGTGGTGGGATTGTGGCAGCCATTTTATCTTTACGGACTTCCTTGGCCAGACACCCTTTCTCTCTTTTTAGCGCTCACCATACAGCCTGCTGGAGTCCCAGAAAGAAGTCCCCGATGAAGACATTCAAGACTTTTCAGAAGAAGAACAATCCATCTTAGCAGCTTCTTCTTCATCCTCCTCCTCCTCCTCTTCGCTTGCACCAGCTTTGCCAAGGAAGTTGCCAAGCGATGCTAGTCTCCATCTGCCTTCTCCAGGAGATGTCCCAAAGCTAACATCTTTCTTAGGACTGCTGGTAAGTCAAATATCTACACAATCAACGGTGAAAATGCAACTTTTGCCTGCTTCTCTTTGTTATCTGGGTCCAAACAAGGTTAAGTTAGCAAGATCCAGAAGCTGCTCCTTCTTGGTTAAAGTGCCATGAATTTGTTAGTTTGATTTTTGTGTGTATTCAAGGGCAGGTTTAATTCCTTCCACTGAGAGCTTTGTAAGTCCTCCACAGTGTATTCTAGACATTGCTAAAGTCAGCTGGTGGCTCTTTCAGAAATCTTTTTGTTACCTGGGCTTGGGTTTAACCCAAAAGGTGCCAAGGATGGCTTCCAGAGACTTGCAGAAGTGTTTTCAAAATGGAAATGTTTTCTGTGGCTGGAAAGCAAAGGGAGTCAGCACCTAATCAGAAAATCATTGTGTGGTTTATTTATTTTTTCTTAGGTGGAACAAAAGCTGAGAAACAGACTGGTGCTTTAATGAGTAGTAGACAAATTCTCTGCTTAAGGATAGGCTGGAGAAGTTCTGAAGGATTTATATTTTATATATTATATATATATATTATATATATATTATTTTATTATTTTATTTTATTATTTATTTTATTATTTTATTCCCTTGAATTTTAAGTTCACTTGATGGTTTTCATTCTGAGGCTGTGATCTGCATCCGAAACAGAATGTTGCTGTCAACGCTGCAAATACTGTATATTCTTGCTTTGACAATATGCAGAACTGTCTGGTATTTTTATAATTAAATCAGGCAACAGTGAAAGGGAAGGAGAATAAGGAAAGCCCGGGAAAAAGAAACCGGAAGTAAATCACATCTTCCAAGTTAATTGGAAGATGTGAACCATGACCCCAAAATAGGGGAGGGAAAAATGCCTGGAATGTATGTGCAACGGAAAAGGATCTCAGATCTAAGCATTTCCACCATGCCGTACTGACATCTCTGTAACCTTAATAAATGCTTTTAGGATAAATATATGCCTGAAAGTCCTTTTAAGTGTTTCGTTAATCAGACACATGACAGTTGCTTGAACTGGNCCCTCTTCAACCAGCTGCCCACTAGCTGGCCGAGGTCCCACATGGCTGGATGCATCCCAGCACCCATGCGCTCACTGGCCTCTGTGTGCAGGGGCCAATGGTGTCAGGCAGCAGCCGCCCCGGCCCCTGCCTCCCCTTTCCCTGTGACAATGGCACCCCCACCCTGCCTTGCCTCACCCCGCAGGACGAGCCTCCTGCCCATCGCCCCACCTGCCAGAGACCCCCTGGATCTCTCCCAACCCTGCCTGGCCCCCACAGGCGTCCCTCCCCACGAGCAATATTGAGGTGATCATGCCCACCTTGGCCACACCCACCCAATCTGCCATGACCACCACAGCCACGCCCACCCAGTGGGCCATGCCCACCTGGCACCCGGCGATAAATAAATGGGTTTTGGGTTGCAGTTTGGGCACTCGGTCTCTAAAAGGTTCGCCATCACTGACCTAGGGTCTCCTCCTCCTCTCTTCCTCCTCTTCCTCCCCCTCCTCCTCCTCCTCCTCCTCCTCCTCCTCCTCCTCCTCCTCCCCCTGTCCTTCTTGACTGATTATACACCAAAGCCAAACAAGATACAGGGTGTTGGACTACTAGAAGACCTCCAAGGTCCCTTCCAATCTTATTATTCTATATTCTATGATTAAAAAAACATAATCTTGATTAAGTAAACACTAAAAGGGTATCATACTATCATAAAGATAGACAGTTTGATGTAGTGGTTAAAGGCATTGCAACTTGAAACCAGGACATGTGCATTCTAGTCCTGCCTTGGAACATAAATGCACCTGGTTGACTTGCCCAATTTCCCATAGAGGCTACTAGATGCCTCCCAAAAAAACCCTCCATAAATCAGGGAAGAGAAGAAATGGAGCCCCAAGGAGCTGCCATTCAAAAGAAGATGGCAAATTCTGGGTGCACAAAGCCCATTTGGTGTAATGGTTAAAAGGCACTAGGGTAGAAACCAGGAGACGTGAGTTCTAGTCCTTCCAAATTCATCCCTAGAAAGAGGACAAGTCCAAACCACTTCTTAAAAATCCTGCCAAGAAAACTGCAGGGACTTGTCAAGCAATAGCCAAGATCAATCGACTTGAAGACAAACACACACACACAAACACATTCTCCCACATGAAAAAAGCTCAAAAACACAATACGATTTTATCTTGGCATTCACCTTTATTTTTTCTCGACTAAATAGCAATAGCTGCATAGAGCTTTACAGCCTTCTTTACAGAATCAACATATTTGCCCCCAACAATCTGGATCCTCAATTTACCGACCTCGGAAGGATGGAAGGCTGAGTCAACCTTGAGCCTCGTCAGGATCGAACTCCAGACTGTGGGCAGAGTTAGCCTGCAATGCTGCACTTTAACGACTGCGCCATCCTTGCAGAAGCTTTGGGCAATGAAGGCAAATACAGGTGTCCCAGGATAATGTTGCAGGATCCAATCTGAGTTGGTCACCGGGACCAAAAGTTTATTCATAATAATAATAATAAAGTTGGAAGGGACCTTGGAGGTCATCGAGTCCAACCCCCTGCTCAGACAGGAACCCTACACCATTTCAGACAAATGTCTGTCCAGTCTCTTCATAAAAACTTCCAGTGTTGGAGCATTCACCGCTTCTGGAGGCAGGTTGTTCCATTGGTTAATTGTTCTAACTGTCAGGAAGTTTCTCCTTAGTTCTAAGTTGCTTCTCTCCTTGATCAGTTTCCACCCTTTGCTTCTCGTCCTGCCTTCAGGCGCCTCTTCTTCCAAGCTTTGGGCTTGTGATGGAGTCCATCCTCAGGGAACTTTTCTCTCTCCAGAATGTGTACACTGGGTTGTTCTACGTGTTGTATTTCTATGGTGAACACATCCTGGAGAGAGAGACGTTCCCTGAGAATGGGAAGAAGCTTGGAAGAATAAACCGTTGGTCCCAGTGACCGACTCAAATTGGATCCTGCTATTGGCAAACCCTGTAACAGAGACAAAGAAGAAAAATCAGGTTATTCCATGATTTGGCTGAAAGGTCACCTCTCTTTGGCTTCCATCAGGCTACCTGAAACATATCTCCAGTCAAGGACTGCCTGAACTAGCTTTGTTAACCTCTATCCCGCTTTCCTTCTGTGCTGTGTATTTAGCCTGAGGGTAGGGATGGATCCAGTGGTGGGATTCAGCCGGTTCGCACCAGTTCGGCAGAACCAGTAGCTAATTTTTTGTTGCCCAGGCCCAGAATGGACTTCCGGAAGCGGCATCCACGCAGAGAACCGGTTGTTCACCTATTTGAATCCCACCACTGGATGGATCACACACTGCTCATCCTCATGGGTCCTTCTTGCAGCTATTTTAGGGGGCCAGGCTGACTAAAGAGAAGAATAAAGATGCTTTCAGTGACAAGAGTCCTCACTGTGAGATGGGTGGATGCATAGGTTATTGCAATAAAGGGATTTAAATGAAGGAGAAAGGAAGTAAAAGGAGAAATCAGTTAATCCAATTTTATAGATAGATAGATAGATAGATAGATAGATAGATAGATAGATAGATAGATAGATAGAGAGAGAGAGAGAGAGAGAGAGAGAGAGAGAGAGAGAGAGAGATGCTGCCAGAGAAAGTGGGAGAAACCCTTACAGAAGGCACAAAGGGGTCTCCCACAATCTGATCAATCAGAACAAAGCTGGAAGGGAGATTGGAGGTCTTCTAGTCCAACCCCTCACTCAAGCAGGAGACCCTCCTATACCAAACACCGCCAGGGATGAAGCATCCACAACTTCTGAAGGCAAGCTGTTCCAACAGCTCAATCTTCCAGTTGCACTACAGATTTTTTGCTCCCCCACCCTTTTTTTTTTTAAATGTAGGTTTCTGCAAAAATGATAAAAACCACGATGCTCGGCTGCGGATTGAAGCTTTACGCCAGCGTGGGTCCTTGTTGCTGAAGACCAGCGTGAAGACGGGGGAAGCTTTCTTTGCTATTTACCCCCGCACTAACCAGCCTAGAATGAATCTCTTTGCTAGCAAGGATGAAGATTTATACCGCTATAGTGATATTATGGTGCTGCTCCGGGCTGGTAGCGATGACCTGACCATGCATTGTGGAAGGTTGGCTTACACAGTATCGTTCCATGAACACCGACCTGGAGCCAAGAGGGAGATACCCATTACGCCACGCCATCTTTCTCCTTTGGTCCCCCGCAAGGAAGACAAGACGCAGGCGGAGGCGGGAAGCTCTTATCTGGCACCTTTACAGTTGTTGGGGGTTCAGCCAGAGAGGACTCAAGGCAGTGCATCTGAACGACCATCTCAGCTGTCACCGACTGCAGAATCCCGTGTTCGTGGGGTAAGGCGTGTTTGAGTATCAGGGTTATTCTGAATTTCGTTTTATTTTATTTCCCTTCGGGTGGGGGAAGTGAATGCAAGTGGATCAAAGAGGAAGGGGTGGTTTCCCTCTCCTTTGGGAGAGAAAGCTTGGCTGTCCAATGGAGTGAATGAATGCATCGTGGTTGGTCTTGGAGAAGCAAATAGAATGAATTGGGTGTAGGCCAGTTAAGAACTTCTAAGGGATGTGGGAATGGCCTTGGGAAATAGAAGGGAGGGCTGCAAAGGGACCACCGGTGGGTAAAAGGTGGGTCAGCCCACAGAAAGGAGGAGGGCATAGAGAATGTTTCAGAAAGGATCTGTCAAGCACCAAGGAAGTCAGGAGATCCAGGCAGTTCAAATGTGTATAAAGATTTATTGCATGCTTAAGCTCTCTACAAGAATCTGGACTACTAACGGTTAAGGGAAATTAGCGAGAATTAAGAATAGAAGGAATTCAAGGTGGGCTGGACTTAGATCTCTTATGGGCACGAAGGAACTCGAGACTGATGATGCATTTGACCTCTCCCTCGGGCTCAGCCTGGTCATCTCCTACAGGATCCTCTCCAGTTTTCTGGAGAGTCAAAGGAAAGAGGAAAGAAATACTTTCGGTCTTCAGAGATTCTGTTTGTGCAACCTTAGAATAGATAGATAGATAGATAGATAATTTAATTTGTATACCGCCCTTCTCCCATAGGACTCAGGGCGGTTCACAGCATATTAAAAACAAATAATATACACACAATACAAAAAATACAAAATACAAAAATACAGAAATACAAAAAATAAACCCCGATAAAAGCCGAATTAAAACCAAATATTACCAGCTGTGTTTCCAATTAAAATACTTTTAAAATTATCCCTACCTAAAATCCTCCCTAGGTCAGGCCCGCTTGCTGGAAAAACCATGTCTTGAGGGCGCGGCGGAAAGTAAGGAGATCC